CCTTTCCGCGTCGGCGCTGCCCCTCGCCGTTTTACTTGAAGCTTCTCGTAATCCGGTAGCTGCGGCGAGCGGAAAAGTGAAGCGGTGATAGGCCACAGGCTGGCTCAGCTGCCTCTTAAAACCTAGCCTAACGCTTCTCCTTTTACAGATGGTGATGATAACACTTCCTGTCCGGCCTGGCCTGGCTTTCCTGTTGTGTAGCTCTACCGGGGATGTTTTTTAACTTAAAGTTACAGCATGCAACTTGAGGCTTACGTTTCGGGCGCTCGCCTGTGGGGCGTGTTGAGGGCGCTCGGTGGTGGCGTGTGTCTGTGGGAATTGCGCTCGGTATGTTTGGGACCCAGTCTGTTAGGCTAGAATAACGTCCAGTGACTTGCCTCTGTGCGCTCTTTGGTTTTCTTGTTTCGGGGTTCCACTGCAGCTTCAGAGGCCCACAGTTTTTTAACCCTGTTCTGTCCGATTTGGATCAAAGGGGGTCCCATGCTGTGGTGCTGTTGGAAAGGAAGGTAAAAAGCATCCTTATGGACGTTGTTCCGCCTGCAGAGCAGGCGCTGGTTAGCACACCTTTGGTAAACTTCTCACCCAGCTTCCTCCAGGTGAGACTTCTGGTAGGGCTTGTAGAAGGTCTGTCTGAACAGTGTGAAGGTGAGCTTTCAAATGCCTTTTCCTACCTAACCTTGTTTTTGAAATTTCTTTTCTTTGTAAATGTTTTTGCTATTTTATTGCTGCTCACAGATTTCCAGGCCATAGCTAAAATGACACTGATAAAACTTCTTACTACTGCAGCTACATGAGGATTTGGTATCTGTAGCTTGCTATGGGAAGAGTTGTCTTAATGTTTGTTGGTATTTAAGGATTCCCTTGCTCGGGTTGCTAAACAGGAAACAAGCTTAACCAGCCTACGTAGGGGTCCCAGATGTCAGTGGTGAATACAGCTAGTGTTGTTTCTCATTTGCTCGAGTCCTCCTTGAAAGTTTAGAAAAGTGTTTTGGATGGCTTGTTGCTTTCTTTAGAGTTTACCAACGTTTGTACGTTTACTACTTTTCAGGTACCGTTAAAGCCTGGAAGGAGTCTTATGGATTGGATTCGACTAACTAAAAGTGGGAAAGACTTGGCTGGTTTGAAAGGGAGGCTGATTGAAGTGACTGAAGACGAGCTTGCTAAGCACAACAAAAAGGAGGACTGCTGGATATGTATAAGAGGTTGGTGGCTGTGATGTTGTGTCTACGTTTTTTTGCCTAGTGTCTTTTCTGTACAAAAAGAACACCAAAAAACAACAACCACTACTACATTTAGGCCAGCTGCAGCTTCAGCATGACAGGACGTGATTTCGTTTGAGTGAGAGATCTTACATAACAAAAATTTTTCTTTTTTTTCAAGACTTTCTTAAGAAGTTTTCAAAGTGAGCATATTTTACTCCTGTTGTATGCTTGTATATTAAAATGATAAAGCATACAGTTAGAGGTGATTCTCAAACAGCAGGAGCTTAGCAAGAATAAGACATTGAAAGTGCTGACATGTGCTGACAGTCCTCAGTCTTGAAGCGTTTAGTATCCTTAGCAGTTGAAGAGTGTTAGTGATCGCTTTAAAATGTCTAAAGATATAACTTGTAAAGATGTTATTCAGATCTGTACAACAGCCTTTGGAAAATAAGTGTGTGTAAACCCATACGCTACTTCCTCATCGTAAAATTCAGAAAGGCAAATGACAGCTGCCATGCAGAGCAGTTCTTGCCTCTAAGAACAAATATCTGTGGTAACTGAGCCATGCTTTTTATGTGATTACTTTTAAGAAATTTTAGCTCAAAAGTTGAAATTGTAAATAGAAGTAGCAATGTGTTAAAGGTGGTTTGGAGCAATGGCCCTGGCTAAAAGAGCTTTTCCAGTGCCGAAAATGAAGTTTGCAGTTGTCTTATAGAAAGAAGCAAAATATTTGCTCTCCAGTTTAGCTATTCTTTAGAGACTAAAATATGCTAATGTGACCTTAACATTTTTTTATGATAACAGTGCTTCTATGAAGATAAATTAAGAAAGATCAGAGTGGCTAATGTGATCTTTCTTTAGGAAAAGTGCTTCATGTCAGTGGTACCTTCTTTCACTTGGTAGGAGACAGGTTTGAGTTGCCGTGATGTCAACTCTGAACTACTGAAATATATTTAAGAATTTCTTTACAAGGATGACAGCACGGTTATGTTGTGTGTTAAAGGAGATGAGAGTGAAAGTGAGGGTAGAATGTCACTCAGTACCGGCTTTTTGAACAAACTAGTAAAATTGTTAATGCCCTGTGTGTGCTGATCTTGCATATACTAGCAAAAACGCAGCAGAAAGAGAACTGAAGAAAGGTTATTTACTATGGAGATCTGTGTTTATTTCCCTCACAGAAAAGGACATATACTACTGCAGAGAGGATGACTGCTTAAAAATATTTCTGTTTAGTTTTTAATCTCTTATTTCCCTAGGCTGCATCTCTGAGGCTTATTTTTACAAAAACTTCATCATGCTGCTTCTGCATCTGTCTTTAATTTTCACATTTCAACCTTTTCTTTGTCCTAAAACTAATAATGAAAACACAGCACATTTGAAAATCCAGGTGGATTATTTGTTGACATAATATGTGGACAAGTTGTAAAATAACACCACTGCAGAAAAACTAAATGAATTCTTTGCATTGCTGTAGTTAGGCTGCAGCTCTACAGGGGGAAAAAAAACCCCAGAAATTGACGAGAAAGAAGAAGATCAGAAATAGAAATAGATTAGAATAGATCAGATAGAAATAGAAGAAGATCAGGAACTGCCACTGTTCAGAAACTAGTCAGATGAACATCAAAGAAAATTGTCATATAGGCCACAAGTATATAAAGTGGGATGTCAGGAGTTTAAAAAGGGAGTGAAGAGTATATAAATGAGATTTCTTTTGCTCATGCAAGTTTGTTTGGTAAATTGAATGTTAGGCTAACATTCAGGAGGTCCTAACTATGTAGATTTTTACAAATATATTTTCTTGTGTGCAGTAATCAGTGCCGCACACAAGATGGCATAGTGGATACATTCATCAGAAGACCAGGTCAGTAAAATGTGCAAAAATAATTTCTTTGTTGTTTCTTGGAGAAGTAAATGGGGAGAACTTGGAGGGCTGTTGTTATGAACTAGGATAGTCTTAGGTGTGTGTTATATTCCTTGACTGCCCCCCAGCCCACCCAGTGTTCCGTGCCTACCACTCTCTCTGAAGTAATGCACAGATTTTAATGAGTTAAAAGCTTCTTGTATCAGCAGTGGCACAGTTCCACTTTTGGTAGCTTCCTGTTTTCCTGACGTCATACAAATGTTCTGCTAGGTAGACTTGTATTAGTTCTCTAAGCAGCAGTATGTCTGCAGTTAAACCTGTTCCTAGTTGCATCCTCCAAGCTCTAATTACTTCATTTGCCTGGCAACAATAATTAGACTTCATCTTTTCAGGCCCGTGAAGCATTGTTTTATCTCACTGGAAATACTAAGAGTAGTATTCATGTAGAACGAATGTGCTTTTACTGGGACGTGAATGTTATCAGTGTTAGAAGCCTTTAGTGAGTACAGAGTATGTGTAGTTTATGTTGCTGAATCTGAATAATGGAACTCTTGTTGCTGGTGGTGGCTGTTTTTCCTTATGGGAGACTGTTCTTCTCTGTGGGTGTTGATTCCACATTTAAATGGTGGCAGGGAAACAACTATGAAAGTGTTTTCGGAGTAACTTTAATTGGAAGGGAAAAGGAAGACAATTGTGTGCACTAATGGGGTCAATGTTATGTCCCTGTCTAAATCAGTGTCTTGCTTTCTTACAGCACAGCAGGATACAATGTGTTCAGCTTCAAGTGCTTTTTTTTGTTAAAGTCTTAACCCTGCAGGTTTCCCCAGACATTCACTGGGACAAATGATATGACTTGGTAGGGTCGACATTTCCATGTGATAAGATGTGTCCTGTGATATATATGACTGTAATTTATGTTTCTGTTTTGGAAAGTCAGACCGTTCATTCTGATGAGGCCAACAGTTTGTCATTACATGCTATGTGATGGGAAGATAGTTATAGTGGTCTTAGGAATTTGCTTACATGTATTTATATTCCGTTTGCCACAGGACTTGTATATAATGTCACTCCATACATGGAATATCATCCTGGTGGCGAGGATGAACTAATGAAAGCAGCTGGAATGGATGGCACAGATCTCTTTGATCAGGTGAGAGCAACTGGCAGTGAATGACTTGCTTGCCAAAAGGTATTTTGAGAAATGCCTGTCTTCTGTTTGTTTTTATGGCATCTCGGTGGAAATGGCGATTTAAAGCTTTTCAAGTCTAAGGAAAGTCAATGGATATGTGCTTAGAATTAAACTTAAGTGCGCTGAAAGCAGCATATAGTTTAAATCTGGTATCAAAAGACAGTAGCAGAGATGTCGCTTTACGTTGCTCAGGTGACCCATCAGTTTGACCATTTTATTCAATTATTTGTTTTTAGCTGAAAAGGCAATAAAGTTAGCAGCAGTTTGAGATACCTCCTTCATAATAAACTTCTACATCGACTTACTGCTGTTGTTTCAGAGGCATTGTCTTCTCAGAGTATTCACTTTTTGACAAATACTTGTAGGATTCTTTTGTCTATTAACTTTTTTACTGCATTATCATTTAACAAAGTACTAAAAAAACTGCTGGCACTGCTATAAACTGGCTGTAAACAAATCACAACGTGACATTTGAGGTCTTTCATTTACCTTTTGCTTTAGCTGTTTGGAAAAAACTCTGAAAATAAAGGGTCTGCAACATGAGTGCACATTTGCATGCAAACCTAGTGCTTTACAAACACGCTCAACTGTAAGTGATGATTCACTCTATTTTTTTTAGAAACAGACATTCTTTAAGTCTCCTTCGTTCGTATGTTTTGAGAAACAGGGTCAGAGCAGAAAGGACAAGTACTTTTATCTCTTTACAGTCTTACGTCACAGTATGTTATGCCTTTATTTGCAAACTGTTTTTAACAGTGCACGTAAACAAAGGAAAGATGTGGTGAAGCCTTTTTGCTTGGTTTTGTTCAGTTTGTTTTTGGTTAATCTTTTCGCAAATGAAGTGTTGCATTCAGGCATAATTCTCTATTGGTCACAAAGCGTCTCTGATTTAAAGAAATTTGGAGTTCATCCAGTATGAAGTTGTGGCCTGAAATTCTGAATCTGGATCACTGTTTGTCAGGTGTTGAATGGTATCTTCAGAAATAGGAATCTTATTAGCAGAGAAATGCCATTCTGGTACTTCTTACTCATAATGCCTTTTCAGAAGCCCATCAAATTGTTCCTGAGTTCACATATGTACTTTCTACTCTTTTTTTGCCTAGGAGCGCAAACAGTGTTCAGATTCTTAACATATGTTCTTCACGCTTCTGTTTCTGGCTGTTATCTTTTGTGTTACGGAGGCGTTTCCATTGTTACCCCTTCTCCTTTAGCATTCTGTGTTGGTCAGATACTGATCTATTTAAATGTTTGGTAGGTTGCTAGTGTTTCTCGGAGTAAGTTCTGAAAAGTTAACTAGCTCAAAATCCTTCATTTCTTTTCTCGTGATGTTTTCCTGGATGCCGTATCAGAATTGGCTTTTCTGCCATCTGTTTCCTGTGGAAGCTCTCCAGCTCTGATCTGTAAAGCTACTGCTTTTTCTTCACTTTATTTGACTTTCTAAAATTAATTGTTTACCAGTGATTCAGTGCTTATAAGAAAGAAACAAACAGAAATACACCAAGCTTGTAGGTGATGTTGATGCATCTAAACTGCTATATAGTATCTTTCTTTCCTTCATCAGCTGCTCCATTTTCTCCTCATTTGTATCTAGAAAAAAATAATTTCTTCTGTTGTAAAGACCTGTTCAGGTTCTTTTAATTACATAAAGCACAAGTTGGGAGGCTGTAAACATTACGAATAAGCCCTTCTGGAATCTTTGATATAATTTCCTGTAGCTCAAGATTGTACAATAATTGAACAATAAGTGCCAGGGTTAAAAAAATTTCTACTAAATTAATACTGACCATTGTACAAAAAATGAACCCTTTTGGTGTGGCAGTTTAGTGCATAGAAGAACAACGTAGTAAGAATTACAAATTTTATGAAAACTAATTTTTTTAATACAGGTTCACCGCTGGGTCAATTATGAATCCATGTTGAAGGAGTGTCTTGTCGGAAGAATTGCTCTCAAGCCTGTTGCTGTTCCAAAAGGTGAGTGTTTTTTTAGAATTAAATTTCGAGTGTTTTATTCCAAAGTTAGCAGGAAGTTGTGGAAAATTTTAAATCGTCATATTTATGAGGAGAGTCTGTGTTCTGACACGGAGATGAAGACCGTTGCCTGTATTTAGTCTTCTGACAGCATGTAGCTGAAGATAAAAAAAAAAAAAAAGTCTTCATTTATAAAAATGGTTTTATGTAATGTATTTCTACATTTCTTCTTTTGTTTTTAGTCCCTGTAAAACAAATGAGTGGGTATGAATGTGTGTACGTTCTCCCTCCCTGCAAGCAACCCACTTCGTTCTTCAAGTCCTGGAGGACAAGCTGTCATGGACAGCTCTGGGGTATAATTTAGAGCATGTTGAAATAAAAGTGAGGCTTTTCATACAGTATTTCCACTGTAGTGACTTCAGTGCTGGGTATGTGTCTGTGAAGTTACATATGTATTAAGATAGTTGAATGCGCGTGATAGATGGTAGTTCTTCCCAGAATCCTTTACTGGGTCTTCTAGAGTTTAAGTTAACTTGGAGAAAATTTCGCTGATAAGACAGACTCCTTTGAGCCCGGACAACAGGACATGTAATTCATTGTCCTAAAATGCTGGTGATGTTTTTTTCTAATCTTATGGCATGCTTTAGTTCACAAATTAAGCCAGCTCTTGCATGATGCTCTTCAAGCTCTGACAAAACACGCTACATACTTGCTCAGCGCTTAAATTGCTTTGCTTTACAGTTAGGTTGAATTTCTGTATCTCTGCTGTTATGAGTGGGGAAAAAGGATTTTACATTTCCATGTGGCTGGGTAGCTAATTCTGTTGTGGAGTTTTTAAGCTAAATGCTGCAATGCATGAACAAATCAGGACGGCATAACTGCTTCATAGCTAATGGAGTTGAGGTATTACAGATGAATTACTGCCATTTTGTCAGCTGTGTTAGAAATTTAAAAGTAAATCTCCGTGGTTTTGCTGATTTCATTAGTCTAGCTTTTCTGCAATCTTTGCTTCTGCCAGCTATGTCAGTCCATTTTTCTGCTTTTTACTTATTATTCTTTTACTTTCCTCTCCAGGACTGCTCCATCCATTTAGCTGTAGTAAAGTTTTCAAGTTAAAACGTTGCCGGCTATATGAAAGTGGTTCTGTTGTCTGTGTATTTTCTGGCCGTTTTAGGCTTGAAAAAAAGTAATTCACTTAATTAAGAGTGAAACCTTTTGGACTGGATTTGCTGAATGCTTACCGTAAGAAGCAGCATTAATGGATCTGCTTCAGCAGTACAGTTTATTGTTTAATAATTTGAGTCTTTAATACATACCCAGGCAAAACTACGTTTGTCAATTTGATTACTACTAGCCCCACTTAAAAGTAGAAAGGCAAAAATGACCATCAGGGGCAGCCTGCTTGAAGGAAAATTCTTCAGTGCAAAATTCTAAAAGCTTGCTTTGATTCGTGGTGGGTTTTGTATCTTCCTCTTCTGAAGAATGAGTTGTGAAGAGTATGACTGATGAACTTCACTACTGGACAGCAATAATTCCCATGTTATGTCCTTCTATAAGACTGAGTTCAGCAAAATTTGGATTTGAAAATGGATGAATAAAGTACAGAGCTAAGGTATACGGTTTTGAGTATAGCATTAAATGGGGCAATATGTATAGAGGGAAAACGGGACTTTGAATTTCGGTATAAATTGTTTTCTTTTTGTGGCACAGAGTGAGCACTTGACAGTATTGCAGGCAGTGCTGCCTGCTGTTTGGTATAGTGTCAATAGAGTGCCAGCAAGTCAGATATTGGTTTGTTGGGAGTGTTGCTGGAAGATTTGTGACTGTTCAGCTTAGTTTTTTATTTCCTCAGTTCTAGGTATATTTTTGGAAGATAGTACCATTATTTACTCACTGCACTTTCGAAGGAAGCTTAAGCTTGTCCTTGCATATTCTAGGGTTCTTCTGCGGAAGATTTGTCTTTCATACACGCTAGTGATCATTAGCTTTTTGCCGGCTTGTCTTTGGGAATGCTGCTGGATGATACGATAGTGACTAATAGGAGATTCTTCTGTAACGTTACAGACAGTGGAGGGTTATAGCCGTGCACTGGAACGTGTCCGGTGTCCTTGGTGTGAAGGCCTGTGCAGTTACTGTAGCAATAACCAAATGTGAGAGAGATGATTTCAGTATCTCTTCCCTCCTTCCCTCTCCCTCAGCAATCCTTTACAGTTTCACACTTTTTGCCATTGTTACACTTGCCTTGTGTTCGGGGTACTCAGCTATGTCAGATATTAGCGCAGACATTACTTTGTTTTCTGGTATCATTTACTCCTGCTAACGTTCCTCACAGATGCAGCTTAGCATATGCCCATTTGTTACTTCTGTGGTAACATAACTTGTATATTGAAACGTATGTACTAGTTTGGATTCTTAAGTCAGTGGGAACGGGCTGAGAGCTATAGTGTGATCCGAGGAAGGGAGGTGTGGGACTGCATCTTGAAAATGTCTCTAACAGCTCTGCTTAAATTTGAAATGCTAATTTCAGTGCAGCATGTTTAAAATGTAGTGAAATGAGAGTAAAATTTTGAACACAAAAATTGACCTTTAGTCAGAAACAAGTTTCAGTGAGTGGCTTGCTTGTCTTAGCAAAATGCTTAAAATGGGATGTGGCAGAATGCATAGAGAAACAGAGAGCAAAACAAAAGTTTTGGAGAAACTGTCTCATTCATCTCAGAGTGCTTTCATCCCACAGTCTCACAACATGAAGGCCTCTGATAAAGGTTGGTCTTGGCCAGCTCTGAAGTCCCTTTGCAATACGCTATGCTTGGTGCATTGCTCTGAGAGCCTTTCCTTAATTTCTCTCACAAAGACTTTTTCTCCCCCCAAAAACTGTTTGACATGATGGAGTGCAGTGGGAGGGGGTTCAGAAGCCCATAGTAAGGCAGAACCATCTAGATCTTGGTTTTCATAAAAGGGAGTGGGAAGAACAGATTAGATTCTCTCACTTACCAAACCTGGCTCTCGTAAAGGAGAATATACCTGTGTATATATTTGCATATCTCAAAATGTCCTGGTCCCGGCAGAAAGCGGCTTGGGTACATCCAGAGGGCTAGTTTCCCCCCAGATACTGCTGTGAGCAGGAGAAAGATACTTGTCTGAGAGGCACTATGCTTTTGCCCTTGAGCTGAGTATTGTACATATGAATTGACAGTTTGTGTTTGCACACTTGGCCTTTGCCCTCTTGTCCGTTCTCCTCCGAGTATTTTTTTTTTTGTTTATCTGAAAATAGTTTGTAGAATACTATAGTTTTCATGAAAGTTCGGATAGTAACTTTGCAAATAACAAAACCACTTGACAGAAGGAGCTTGTAGGAAGATTGTTACCCTGGGTTTCTGCCAAGGATTGGGCTTAAAGTAGATTTAGATAGTTGTAGATCAGATTCAGTTCCTGCTACGTGCTGACTGGAGACGAATGTTTAAAGTCTGACGTTTTGTAGCCTTCTTGGCTATGAAGTTTATAATCGCACAAGGGAATTTGTGCTGTTTACTTTTCAAGTGTTGAGTAAGAATTCTTGCATTTCCCACCCTTGAGTGGGAAGTTTTAGCATTTTTAACATAGAATTTTTTAAATTATATAGAGTATTTTGTAATGGTATTCAGTGCTATATTTAATCTTTATATCTTGATTGCTGAAGCATCCTTGTCAATCTTTTAATGTTCTGGTCTTAACTTGGCTTATTTCTTTAGTGTGATGTGTGCCTGCCAGCTTTACTGTCTTGGTCACTGTTATTTTTCTTAATGCTTGTAGAGACTTCTATATCTGAAAAGAAGAAACAGCTTAACGGTAAGTATTTGACCTTGAGCAAGGTGGGGAGCAAATCTTAGGATTATGTGAATGTTGTTATTAAGTGAGCAGCTTTTATGAGACTTCTCTCTGTTTGTATATTTCAGTCTGATGTTGAGGTGGTAGCAATCCATGGGAGTTGCAGTAGGCAAAATCCTAGCCGGGTATGGTGAATTCAGTGATTAAAAGTATTGAAAGATGGCGGTGGAATAGTACGGAAAAGGGAGGTATGAGGTTAGAGGCCGGGTCTCAGAGGAATCCTTTGTGGATGTGCCTTCTGCTAGAGTCAGACAAGATAGGTCGCAAGTAACTCCTTGCTGTTGAAATTTGCCAATGCAAAATTATCAGGCTTTTTCATCCTCCCCTGTATTAGGAAAGCTAGTTGGCCATGGAGCTGGAATAAGAGAAATGGGATGAAATTTTGTGGGGCATAAGAGCTGGGAGTTTATCACTTGAAAATGACTAGAGCTATGTATTTGATTTTGATCTTTCTAAGGAAGAAAAATTATAGAGTAATTAGTCATCTTAGTGTAAGAGGCTCCCTAAAAGAGCCTCTTGGGCTTATTGAATCCAGTCAAATGAGGTGTGTTGATAGAGGAAATAAGATGAGTACCTGTGAAGGGAAATAATACTGTTTGAGCTAAAGGCTGACCTTTTGGGTACAAATTGGTCATGAAAAAGTCTAGGCTGAAACTTAGGAAAAGAAAACTAGGGCAGTCAAATTTTGGAACAGCAGGAAAACCAAAAATCTGGATGTGTCTTGGGGTGAAAGCAGAGAATTTGAGGTGATGTCCCAGCACATCTAGGAACAGCGCAGGGAAGTTTACTCATTCATGCTCTGTCTGCTACCTTTGAGTTCCCATTTGTTTTCTTCTGTTTTCATACTGTTTTTCTTGCCCTCACTCCATGTTCTGTGAATGTTGTCTTTGACATTTAAAAGGCAGGTTACCTTTGAGTATGTACAAGCATTGAACTACACAAAAAGATCTTTAATACTACAGTTATGCATAAGCCACATAAAAGTAAGCAAAACTGACTTTGTTTGCTCCTATTTTGCTGATAGCCTTATGGATCATTACACAAACTTTGTGACAGGGCCTGCTTTCTGTCTCTTCTTTTATTTATTTTTTTTCTTCAGCACTGAACAAGTTGTTGGAACCTGCTAATCTTGCTTTGAAGGGCAGGAGGAGTTGGAAAACAAACTCTGCTTCACTATCATCGGAATTATATCACAATGCAGCAGTTAGTCTTCTACTAGAATCAAAATATTCATGGGTTATTTAGTGACTACTAATTGCACCATCTACTCCAGTGTTTGTCCTTCTGCTTGGTTATGTTGGTTCATGAATTTCTTGCTTTTTATGCTTGTCTCTTTCATGTTGATGGTAGATCCAGGAAAAGAAAAACAAATGGTATTCCTTCTCTCTTCCTGTCTTGCTTCCCTGCCTGCTCCTAGATATGTTGAGTTTTCTTCATGCAGCTCACGTGAATTGTCAGAAGACATAGGAAATGTTGTGTATTTCCAGCTTCTGATTGTAGTTTCCTACAAAAGTTCCAAAAAACTGATGAGATTATAAATAAAACTTGTTTGTTGTATTCAACGTACCTGTCTGGCAAGACATTTTTTTTAAATAGGAAAAGTCAGTCCCTGAAGATTTTGGCACTGACAATAGCAGTTGTGGACATCTTTTATTTATTTTATTTTACATTCTAAGAGTTTTTCTTTATTCAGTTGTTGTGTCTCACTGTCTAGCACTTGTAAATTTAAGTCTAAATGAGACTAGAAATACACGTCGATGACTGAAGGTGGGAAAGAGAAGCCTGTGGCCTAGGCTGTGTTTTTTTTTTAGGAAGTTGTTGGCACTAATGAAGACATTTTTGTCCTGCTAATCTAAAATGTATAAATAATACAGTATTGCCTAGTGTGCTCAGGTCAGTTATATTAATATAATATACAAATAGATACTTATTAAATCAATATTTAAATATTTATTTAATATAGCCGCCTTTTTTTAAGTGTATCGATTATGCGTAAAGTTAGGCTGAAGTTGCCAGAATATATTGTTAGTGATGCAGTCTTGAAGGTGAAGCCTAATGTGCTCCTGGTCGTCTGTTGATACTTTAGCTTCCAACAAAAGACATCAGAATTTCAAAATGCTTCCTTTCCCAGGAACTTTAAGCACAGTTTCAAATACATTTTCTAAAAATGATCTTTTCAGCCTTGCACCTTTTAGCTAAACTGAGGCTTCCCTTGTATGCAAACTATTAGGATGATGATTTCTGTAATATTAACAGCAAATAAATGATTTGGGCAGTTCCACCATCTGAAAACAATCTGGTGTTTGAGAATATGCGCCTCAGAACTTGAAAAAACATATGGTGTGGAAACAGGTGACGGGAGGAGATGTTGTCGAGCTACAAGTACAGAAAACACTCCTGTGGTTCAAGAAGCTGGAATTATTCAGATTTGCTCATGGGTGATATAAATTTTCCTATTTTTCTTAGTAATATTTGGAGTATTCAAATATGGGTCAGGTCTGTTCTTGAGCCTTCTGAGAATAAAGAAAACACGAGATACAGAAAGCTTTCATGGAATTCTGAAATAACCTCCAGGTGTTCCTTCCAACCTAAATTATCTGGTCCAGTCCCCTGCTCTGGGGAACCAGAAGGGTGAGCTTTGATGCTAAATCAGATTGCTCAGGAGTACCCCTACTCTTATGGGAAAGAGGTTTTCCCCCTCCCCTCCCCTCCCGAACACACAGAGGTGGAATTTCCTTTGCTGCTACTTGTCCATTGCCTCTTTTCCTTCTGCTGTGCTCTTCTGAGAAGATTGGCTGTCTTCTCTGTATCCCCCTTCCCCTCTCTTTAGGCAGCTGAAGACTGAAGTTAGATTTCTCCCTTAGCCTTTTCTTCTGCAGGCTGAATAAACCCACTTCTCTCAGTCTTGCTGTGTATGTCCTGTGTTCCAGCTGCTGACTGTCTTGGTGACTGTGCTGGCCTTGCTCTGGTATGTCAACAGCTGTCTTGCCCTGGGGAGCCGAAACTGGACGCAGCACTCCAGATGCAGTCTCGGAAGTAGAATAGAGAAGGATAGAATAGGGTGGAATAGAGAGAAAGAATCGCTCCTCTCAAACTGCTGGCTACGCTCTTGCCCAGGATGCGGTTGGCCGCCTTCACTACAAGGGTGCAGCGCTGGCTCAAGTTCAGCTTGTTGTGTGCTATGTCTCCAGATCCTTTCTGCAAAGCTGCTTTCTCTGCAGCCAGGCCCCCAGCCTGTTTTGTTGCATTAGGCTTTTAATGCATGGCCAGCTTCCTTGTCATCCTTGCGTGTATCCCATCTGGTCCTGTGGTATGCATGCAGCATCTTACAGTATTTCAGAATAATTCACAAAGTGCCTGTTTTGCTAGATCATTCTGTTTTATTCTGTCCATTCATATTTTAATTGCCCTGCAAAAGCAAGTAGGAGTGGGTATGACTGTGAATTACAGTACAAATTCACTTCAAAACCAGACTTCTAAAGACATTTCGAAATAATATACTGTCTATATTTTTAATAACCTTACTCATGTCAAATAGTAGCTTTTGCATCCCTTGAGAGAAGTCCAGTCAAAGAGACTGATACATGTCAGGTGAATGTGGTGTTACAACCTAATTATAGCTAATCCAAAGTGAGATACAGTTTATTACAAAGTTACTCAGAACTCCCCAAATATCTTTCCGTGATTGGGACTTCTTTCCTCTTTCAGTGCAGGCACACGCACCTTATCTGCTTTTAACTGTGGAGGCCAGTCTTAGCCTATGGTATCGGTGTCCCTAAGAAAGGCTTAGCCATTGACAAGGGTTTTATTATTAGGTGGTTGTTTTCCTTTTGCAATGGACTGACTGTTCTGCTGTTAGCTTCCTTGGCAGCTGCTGAGTCACAGATAGCATGTACATAGGGGAAATTAAGGATGACACTGTAAGAAATTCCAGCAAGTATTAATTGGCATGGGCCAGTTCCCCCGTCTGGGTAACCTGTTGTTTTGACAGATTGGATTAGACCAGAATGGGCCTCTTTGTTTTTATGTACTTCCCACATAGTGAAGGCATGCAATTTCTTTATTTTAGCTTGCAGTCAGACTACAGACTTACTGGCATTTAGAAGATAATGATCTAGGTCAACGAGAATATTCATGCATTAATTGCATTTTATGCACAGGTGTTTCTGGTTTACAAGATTTGCCCTTGAATTTACTTAAAAGGTTCTAGAAAGCAAGCATTTCTACAGTATGATTAATTAAAAAGAGTGCTCAGCCCAAGATCACCTTTGTTCTTAGAGGAATGTAATAAAGAATTGGTCCAAATGGTTTTAGGAAAATGCTCTACCTCATAGAAGAGGCCATCTCTGGTATGAAATTTCTGCTCTTTATCTTAAGATTTAAAATAACCATCCTTTTGCAATAAGAATATAACTTATCAGCTATTATTTTAGACCTTTGCCTAACCGCTGTCCAGGAAAATTCCTGCTATACATGTGATGGTACAAATCATATTGTACTTCAGTCTGCGCATCTTTCTCTATCGTGATTCTGTACAATTCCCTTGCATCAAAGTTGATGGAGGAGTGCAATTGCTTGAACCTGTCGTCTTTGCTCAACTTCTTGCCAAATATGTTCCGTTTCCCTTAAGCCAGAAATGAGTACAATTACCTGTGCAAAGACTGAGCAAGTGTTGTGTCCGAGTAAAGGCTTATTCAGACTGTCTCGTGATGCTTAACAGTTAAAGCAAGTAGCTGAGTTCTGCAAAGATTGCTATAAAAGCACAGAGTAGAACGATTAAGGCTAAATCTCTGCTTGATTGACTAAAGTGAAATTTTACTTGTGAATTAGATTAGACATTCAGGATTGAATTTGTTGATCTATATTTTTATAAACAAATAGTTCTGTTAAAGTAAATTAATTCAGGCAACTTTTTCTCTATTTCGCTATCAGAAAATGCGAAAGCACAAACCAATGACAGGTGGAACTGAGACTAAGTTGCATGTTTTGGAAAGCCTGTACACACAAATTCTTTGGGGTATGGAACTCTAATTTCTGAAACAGAGCTTCGTGTTTTAGGAGCCTGCTCTGCAAGAGCATGTGCTGAATAAAAACACCAAAAGAACTATGTGAATGCCTTTGGCTCTCTGTGGAAATAAAACCACCAAATATTGAGGAAGGGTATTTAGCACATAAGTAGCACTTAGGATTATGGTTTCTATTAAGTGAACGTCACTGCAAATACTGTAATGACTGTCTGTCCTTTGTAGGTATGCTTCCTGAAAAGAAACTACTGGGTGCTTCTGCTAAAGATTTAACTCCAAGGTATACCTTCCTTATTCATTGTCTGTTGAACGGTCTATTTAATAGTTCTACACAGTTCTGATTGAATGCAGGCAATTTCTTCCATATTTAGCTCTGTATTTTACCTAAATGGATATAGGTCGTTATCATTCTCTTAAATGTAGGAAAGCTGAGGTTCCACATTTAAATAACTTGCCCAAATATCATGTTGATCTTACAAGCAGAAGGTGATGCATGTTTCCTGGCTTGCTCTGCTGTTTTCTAACATTTGTACTGCCCTGCATTACATATAAACACATGGTTCATATTCAGTCCCCTCAACCTTGTTTCTTGTGATAACTCCTGGAAAGTGATTTTGCCTGGGCTGGTTACGTTTTTTTTACTTCAGTTATTTGTCTGTAAACATATGAGTTAGCACGCCTTGGAAAAGTACCTCATTTCAAACTGGAATATATTAAGGTATGATAGTTTCATATTCAGGCTTCTACAGTTTGCAAATACAAAGGAAAACAGGCCCTAATAAATTACTGCGGCATACCTGCTGTTGTCAGAGATATCTTTTTACTCCATGACGCCTTGAGACGCTGAGGTTCACTTTTTCACTTTGCATCAGGGTCTCTTGTGCGTGTGCAATCTCTCTGCAGTTACAGGCAGTCACGTAAAATGGTGCGGGTAAACTGTGGCTTGTGAATAATTGGAACGTGGCTTATCTTCTGGAGCGCTCCCCAACCATCCCTGCCTTTTTTTTTTTTTTTACTGCCTGGTGCGTTCAGGTGTGTGGCAGGCAGGCTGGCAGCCTAGAACATGTTGGCTACCAGTAGCATCTGCTGAAGAGGGTGTCTTCCCTCCCCACCTTCTTTCCTGCTCCAAGATCCCAATTGTAATACAGCAGTAATCGGGAGAAGAAGGAAGGGAGAAGATGGTAGTATGTAGACGTGAGGCATTACCCTTGTTATGTAAACAGAGTTGACTTTCATTGACTGGAATTGCAGCCTTCGTGATGCTGGAGTCAGATGAGCAATGTGGGTGCTGTATGGTAGAGAGCAGACGTCATCTGATTGTCAGGTGTATGGCCCTCATGAAAAGGGGAAAAGAAAGGAAAAGCTTTTCTAGGGATGGAGGTCAGTATCCTGACCAGCGAAAGAGATGCTGGAAACTTCTTGGCAAGTGTAAGGCGATTAGCATGGGAAGGATGTGCTTTCTATTTCTTAGGCTTGCCCCAGACTTACTGCAAGGTTTGGAGGGCTTGGGAACATAGGAATGTAAAATCTTGATCTGGGGAGACGAAAGGGACTGCTGTTGTGTGGTGTGGGGGGTGGAACTTAGAGCTCTTGGAATCCACTTTGGCCACTTAATAATTTTGTGTGGAATCAAGGATTTTGACCATCTTGTTAGGAGGGCTCACGTGTTGCAAAGAGGATGCATGTGCTTGTAGAGTAAAACCAATACTGTGTAATTTTAACTACAGTGTGCTAACTGTCAAGATGGGCAATTACACTACTCTTATTTTAATATTATTTTGAAAATGATTGTCTCTGGAGTTACCTCTTCAAAACACAATAAATGATTTATTAAGCTTGTAACTTCATGGAAGAAGCTCTGCTTGAAAGCCGCTTGTTAGATGTGTTTTGGCATGTCCCAAAAGTATATATATATTTTTTCTTTCCTGTATTTTTTATTTTACAGTTATGACTGGTTCCAAACAGATGGTTTGATCACCATTGTTCTATATACTAAGCAGAAGGTAAATGTATTTTATGAAAAGGAGAATTACAAGATCCACTTTTGATCCAGCTTGAATTCTGGGACAACTTTTAATAAAATAATGTTCCTTTTCCTTGCTGATACAAGGATATGAATACAGAGTTGGTGATAGTTGACTGTCAAGACAAAAGATTAAGGGGAGAGATCATCATGAATGACCACTCATATGTCTTAGAAGTTGGTACGTACTTTAATTTGCAGTTGAAAATACTGAATTTGCATTTTTTTAATTGTTATTTTTTTTCAAACCCTCTCACAGACCACATGGAGTGTATTTTACATATACCAATTTGCATTTTACTCCTTTTCCATTGGAAAGGATTACTTAAAAAATGCCTCAGTGTAAAAGAAATACACTGTCAACTCACCTATCTTCATGTTTAACATATACTACTACTTTTTTTTTTTTAAATACCGTTTCTCATTTGATGTCGCAAGCTATGTTGAATAAGGTGTAGTAAGAAATGGAAGAGGAAGAACTTTACATGACTTTGATATGAAGTGTGTGTTGTTGATGGCTGTTAAAATGCCCGTGTTCAAAAAGGGCAAATGAAATTATTTTGATAAACGTAGATTAGTAGCTTTAAATGAGTCACTGGTAAAAATAATGAGAAAACAGATGCCTGCTTTAATGTTACGCGTTAGCCCACAGAAGTCACTGGGATTGGTACATTGCAACAGACTGAAATTTCAGGGCATAATAGAGTGCTAGGCTGATTAGTTCACTTGGTATTTCTAGCCTTAAACTGGATGTATATATGAAGACTAGAATGTGACCTACCTTTTTTTGTCTCCTTCAAAAAGGGGTTGTTTTTCTTTATTTCAGACTTGGATCATGCAGTTGAGGAAGACTTTGTTGGTAAGTTATGTCTCTTGCAGCATTTCTTTCTTCTGTATCTGTTTTAATGACAGTGCTGCATGTCAGTTTATTTTTCTCTGCCTCTAACAAGTATTCACTTATCGGATACACCTTTGCTAACTATTAGTTTCTGACACAATCACATTAAACAATTAAATCAAATACCTTTTTAATGCTAAAATAATTAGAAGATATTTCTGTTGTATATTTAAAACTTTCTTTGCTTAGATTGAGATTTTCGTAGAATGTATTTGTTCGTTCAAATGGCCTTTCACAGACAGGAGGAAGTAGATATTAGTAGTCTATACCAATTTCCAGGAATTGAGAACTCTGAATTGTTGAGCGTTCTTTTTGACCAGATGGACTGTGAAGCTTTTCACAGTGTATTTAGTAAATATGTTGTGTTAGTTACGCATATTAAGTTAGTGCTTGTTGTTTTGAATGCGCTGAATAATATTATAAGGAGACAGCTGGAAGTACATTTAATTTGGTATTTTAATTCAACACATGAATTCTGTGAGTCTTGAAAAATGACCAGTCCTTCTAGGGTTTCATTATAAGGGGGGAATAAAATAATGTATTTGTACAAAAATGTAACTAATAATATTAAGCTCTTTCCTCTTTTAGTAAATATTGCTGAAAAAATTGGAAAGGTAGAAATTATCTTAAAGAAAAAAGATAACATTCATTGGAAAATGCTGGGACAGCCTTTGGAGAGTCACAACACGTTTATCAAATGCAAGAACAGAGGTAAGCAGTTGAATGCCCATGTTGCCAATTGTTTTAAGGCTTTTCAGAGCATGTTGGGCATATTTGGATTTCCCAGGATTTTCTTTGTTTTCTGTAGTCACACTTCATTTCTTTCAGGGATGTTCTCTGGTCTTGGTGAAAGCTGTTCAGGAATTTTCCTTGAAAGAGTTCAACTTGAAGGGTTTTCATTTTTTTGTCGCATGGTGGAATTGAAGATCTTTCAGGTTTAGTGAAAGACTGGATAACCTGATGGGAGAAGGTGAAGGCTACTTGAGGGATGTTGCATCTCATGAGACTACCTGCGTGCTTAATGTCCCTTCTGTCCATCTGAAAACCTCAGTAGACCCTGAGGAGATAGTGGGTGATCTTGTGTCAGTCAATATGGGAATAACTTTAGCAAAGGAATGAAAGCCTCCAGTTCCAGCTGTTACTCTAGATGCATCCTGTTTCAAAGGTAATGCTCCAGCAGCCTGCGTCTTTGTAGCTTGAACCATGATTAAAATAGGCCCTGCAAATCATGTGAGGACATGAAAGGCAACTCTGAATGAGCTGATGGGTCTGCAAGAAGCAGTAGATGTTCATATTGTAGTAACGTTATAATGTTCTAGTGCTGCATTAAGTATTAGCTTGACACAGCACCCGGGTGCACTGCTGTGATCACTGTGCTTCTTATTTAGAGCGAAATTAGAAATTTCTACACGATGACGTTGTATAATATAAGCATGCTCCTGACGTTATTGCCACTGTCCTGTTTCTCAAAAGCCCTTTTGGCCCTCTGTGCTTATTGCACAGTTCTTTTTTCCCTGAGAAGAGTCTGTCATGTTATACAGAACGTAAGTTTTGCAGGTATTTGATAGTCTTATTATCTATCACTGCCTGAGTCCAGATTGATTTAAGTTGAAGCACTGGAAGACTTCAGTGAAAGGGCTCGCTGAACCTGAGTTTCTTTGATGCCATGATTTCAAAAGTGAGGAATCCAACAAGTATTTTGATATATACAGCTCTTTTTAATCCCTGCTCCAGAAATTCTTATTCTGCAACTTAACAAAAAGCAAAATTTAAAATTGAACACCTCTGTTTTGGTGTTTCTACTTCTAACTATTACGAAGTTTTATCCTTTTAAGGAAATGTTAGAATCCTATTAGTAATGTATACCTGAAAAATTACGCAAAGTTCTTTACTTTTGAATCCTGATAGGCTTTTAAACTTGTATATCTAAAGGTTAAAAGGTTCCACAGGAAATGTGGACACTTTAATTTTTAAAATAGTGTCAGTAATTAAGTACCTGCTCTAACATGTTTCATATTTTGAAAAGTATACTGTAAAAATTCCTTTTGGCATTTACAACATGTTCTTATATATTGTAGCACTAACAACATTGTAACTGCAGGTGGACTTAAAGTAGTAGGTGATGAAATAGAGCTGGAGAAGAGAGAGGCTTTTGCTCATGTGCTCTGTTGCACAAAAAGTGTCAAATGCTCCTGCATTGCTAGCTGCGTTAGAAATATTTTTTGCGCTAATAGTGATGAAACTGCAGCAAGGCAGGATAGTCAGCTGAATAAATAGCCAGGATGCGGGTGGATTTTGATGGTCCCTTCCTGAAGATCGTGGTGCCAATGTCTTCATTACTTTTCCCTTGCGTTACTCAAACTGTTTTTAGTCTGAGTATGTGCATTCATACTGTAATTGTACGGTGAAATTAGTGCTGATACAATGTGGTACAAGTGGTTCTGCTTTCCATTAATGTGTGCAATATTCTGATACGTGGGAGTTCTTCTACTTCTTCTCGATCTGTGCTAACTGATAACTCAAAGATTCAGTCTGTTGTTAAGAGCCTAATATAAGGCTATAAATGGGATCCCTACCCTCAAATTGGGAAACTAATTATAAGTAATGATCCAAGAAGCATCTGTATAATGTTTTTATAACTGTATTTAGTGAAATACATATATCTTTATCTTTCTCTATCTCTTATTCAAAAGCTGTATAAGAACAGAAAACCAGATTAAGGCTTAAATCAAAAGTAAAACATGTTTTTAGGACTGTTCTACAGAAAATGCAAGTTGGTTTCTAAGACAGAAGTTACCCATGACACCAAGCTCTTCCGCTTTCTGTTGCCTAAGAGCACTCATCTCCAGGTTCCCACTGGGCAGCATGTTTACCTCAAACAAATCATTGCAGGTAAGAAAAATAGAGTGTAATCATGGATATTTTAATATAAAGCCTGTCTAATATAAAGCCTGTTTAATATAAAGAGTGTCTGCGCTTCTATGATCACAGTCGCTGCTCAGTAACGAGCTGAGTGGGTTAATACTGCCAAAATGCTAAATATCAAGATATCTGACATTGTGTTTTGTTGTTGACCTTATTGTCTCTTATGTTGTTCTTTCAACTCCTCCTTTAAAACATTCTCTCTATTCAAGTAGTGCTGTTCCACTCTGAGTGGGGGAAAGCTCATTGTGTGTATGCTATCTATAATTAGTCTGTTCCTTTTAGTCTGAAACTTCTGTCATGTTGTGGGAGATTACATTTCAGTGTTGCTTCTGTCTTTTTTTTTTTTTTTGTTCCAAGGGGTTTACAGCAGTCACAGTAACATTATTTTCTACTCCAACTGGACAATATTAATGATAACACTAAAATGAGGAGGTAGCCATGGAGAGGAATGTGTCTTGAGAAAAGCATTGTATAAGTGTTACTCTTCAGAATTTTGGATAAGGCTAACTCCAGAGGGGAAAAAAACCCACAAAGTAATGCCTCTTTTTCTTTTTCTTTTTTTTAAGTACTTTTAAAAATTTTTGCTGTGATGCTGATACTTGTACTGCACTATTTATACATGGCAGAGAGAGACTCTCAGAGCTCTGAGAAGAATTATTAAATATCCTTTAATTCCAAAATATTTGTTGTCCTCCCTCCGCTTCCTCCAATTCTATGCTGGTGTCCAACTCTTACAGTCTTTTTCTATCACTATTATGCAATAGTTTTTTGAAATGACAGTGGAAACAAATATAATCATGCAATATTTAAAAACCTGCTTTTTGAATAAAAAAAAAGGAAGCCGTGGCGCTTGAAACTAAGCGGTAATAGTTAGATTTTCATGTTTGGGGGTGACCTTAGATCTCCTTTTCCAATGTTTTGAAGTGCTACGTACTATAGAAATAACATACCGACCTGTGGCCTGAAGATTTTAGTCAGGGGAACGGAAGACTGTTTCGATAAGAAATGGTGCAGTGGAAAATAACATACTTGCTTAAAAGCGCACAGTAACGATTATGTATGTTATGTGTTAACAAATATGTATGTTATGTGCACAGTATGTGTTATTTGTACAGAGTATATACATTATTTGTAATATTGGCAGGAAATTTGCTGAATAAGGGACACTTCAGCTAGCTGTTTTGTTTCCTATTTAGGGACAGAGGTAGTAAAACCATACACACCTGTATTGCCTTTTTTGCTACTGGATTTCCAAGAAACATCTTGCCATGATGGTGCAAATATATATTTAATGATTAAAATTTATTCCTGTGGACTGTTCACACAGGCACTTGACCACCTACGAATTGGTAAGTGCATATGTTTTTTGTTTGATTTTGCAGCAGTTGCTTTATCTTTGCAGCTTCACTGTCGTGGGTACTGTGAAGTTCTTGTTGTTTCCTCAGTTATAAATCGGTGCATGCTTACAACTTTTTTTTTTTTTTAAATCTTTTTTTCCTGTGTCCCAAACCTGCGGCCTCATCCTCACTGTAATTAAGAACAGCCCATTATCTAAGGCTATCTTGAGTAATCTTCCAAATGAGTTAATATCTAAGTATAACTGTTTAGATATGGCAACTGTGTCAAATATTAATTTTTGTTGATTACTTTGCATTTGATTCAGTATATACTCCTAGAACAACATTCTGTACATACATTCTGTATTTTTGGATAAAGAAATCTAAGTATTTCATTAGGCTTAAGATGCACTTCCTCTTCTGCCTCACATACGAGGCAGATCTTCGTGTATAAATATATGCACATCTGTGAAGTCAGTGTTACCATGTAAAAATCCATCAAAACAAGACATTTTAATTGAACATCCGTTTATTTTAACAAAAATGATCCATGTGTGACATGGATATATAGTACCCTCTGGAAGGATTCCTAATACTACAAAGATACAGGCAATATTAAGGGCCTTTGAAAATAGTTAACTAGTGTTCTGATTTTTCGTCTCGTTTAAGGCTTTCCGTTCTGTTTTTTGTTACATAGGAGACTATATTTCTATCAGTAATCCTGAAGGTAACTTCAAGAAGTCACAAGTTCAAGCTTTAGAAGATCTCTTTTTATTGGCAGCAGGCACAGGCTTCACACCAATGGTTAAAGTGCTGAATTTTGTTCTGACTGAAGTTAGTAGTCTCCGGTATGTACACTTTCTTTTGATTTAATCCCCGAGCTAGAGTAATCCATAGGAAGGATAAGACAAAATGTAATGGGCAAACCTCAGGGTTACTAAAATGCCAAAAAAATTGGTATGGAAACATTTTTCCTTGGTTTATGAGAAAAGCTATCATGCTTCAGGGAAGATTGTCACAGTCGTTGGGAGCTTGCACGTAGTTGGTTATTGGCTACCATCAGCAAAATGAACTGATTTACTTTTTGGATTTTAATCATGATATAAATCAGCCCAACAGGCAGAAAACTTGACTTTTTAATACCTAGCTCTGCATTTGAGTGCTTTTTTTAATATTGAAATATTTCAATGTAAATTTTGCTTTTCTAACATTTTCGAATTTTACATTAATTTAGATATGGATTCTCTTTAATGTGTTAGAGTAGCTAATATACTTGTGTATATGTAGTTTTCACGCCTGTTAAGAAATAGTAACACATTTTTACCAGTTGAATTCCAGTTTTCATGCCAGTGCAGCTCATGTAAGCATAGCATTACTTATATTTAAATTTATATTTAAATTTAATATATTTATATTTAAATCAAATATATTTAAATATATAAGATGATGTATATTGGATATGTATTTTGTGCTGCGCCTGTAAAATTTATTAAAGGAAGCCTTACTTTTTCTTGTGAAACGGCAAACGGATTGTTTTGACCGCTTTCATCATTCAGAATGGCAGAAGCAGTGCTTCTGCTTGACAGCGATTGTCCGTGTGTACGCTAGTGCGTGCGTACGTGGTTCTGCCTGGCTGATTCTAGTCTTCTCTGTACTAGAGAAAGTACTCAGGCCTTCCTGTGAGTATTGTAGATAGTGCATATGCTCTCCTTTGTCATTCCTTTCAGTGATTTAGTTAGGATCGCCTTACTTCTTGCTGTAATTTCACTAGATCAGTCAACTGTTTGAAGTCTGACCGTGCTGCTTATCTTAAGTTTGGTTTTCAGTTGTGGTCTGGCAGACCAATAAACAATCTCCTTGCGCAAATAAAAGCAGACTGTGCAAGAGATTCTTGTGCCTTTGGGATGCAGGCTCTTACTGCAAAAGACTGAGCAGCAGGAGTCCCTGAAAGAACATTTTGGGGTGTGCACATGGGGCTGTATTTAAAAAGTAACAAACGTTTTCAGGATGAATAGTTAACTAAGCTGTAGCATTGAGTGTCGCTGTAAGTCTTAGCTGAAGAGAGAGTGCAACAGTTCAACTTTAAAGAAAATGCCAAATATTACTGTAGGGCTGTACTTTGCCGGAGATGAGGTGGGCTTGCATTGCTTTCAGCAAGAGTCTGTCTCCAGAATGACGTCTTCTAGAATTTCTTAACAGATTACATTTTGGTCAGTGTGAACTGCTGTCATTTTAAAGAGTATAAAAATGGAAAATAAGCCTGACCTTTATTTTCTTTAAAATTGTTGCTGAAGACGGTTCTACAGACTTGCTGTAGTTTGTACCTTTGAATTCAGAGTCTCTTAATACATATTTAATTTGTAATACTGACTGTTATTCAATATAAACACAGGATGTTTTTCGTTCATTACGTCTTTATGTTGTTTCAAACCGTGCTTCATAATAGATTTAAATGGGAGGCTAGTCTTTGTAGTAAAGTTAAAGAGGATTACATGTACTGCAGTAATCTGTTTCTAGAAAAAAATCTAAAAACATACTTTATTGTTGTATCGCTTGTTGTCTAGCAATTGCGTATAATCTGTTTGGTGAGGAGAGGGACTGCGTACTGTTTGAGTGCAAGCTCTTCCAAAGCGTCATGTGTTGTCAGTAGCAGATAACATGCAGCTGTCTGGCTCTGTGAAATCCGAAAGATAAATTTATCATCTGAAAAAATGCTGGGGAAGCTCTTGCTAAGTGCATTTGGAATAAGTTTTTTTTCTTTTTGAGGGGAAGACTGGCATGTGAGGTAAAGGTGGTTGTTGTGATAGTATGAAAGCAGAATAAGGACAGCTATAGTAAAAGCTGCCAATGGTGACTTTTTGTCTATAACCAGAGTAAACATTATGTAGATGAGATATGTGAAAGACTACGGCTGTGTGCATAGTGAGTGCTCTTACCTGCTCTGTCCTTGCAAAGATGACCAGACTGGCTTATTTTAACTCTCTTAATTGTAATATCTTATGGGAACTCAATGCTTACAGCTTGTTCTGGATGCAACACTAGGTAGAGGGCTAACATGCTGTCCTCAAGTAAGTGGAGAAGTGCAGTCTATCCTTGATTCTGCTTGATAGTTGTACCTTGTTTTATCTCCAGCTTTTCATTCTTAAGCTCCCACCCTGTTCTTATATTCTTTCTTAATACACTGGTCTACTTTCATCATTCCTTGTTTGTGTTTGAAGTCGATTTTGTAACTTTCTCCACCGCCTAGTCTTCCTCAGTGTTGAAAACATCTAAGGACCTCTAACTCCTCTCGCTGTACAGCTTTCCATCAGTTCTTGCGTGCTTTTTTTAAAGTTTATTGAAGTCTGCATTCCTTGAAGTATTTTTTTTTTTTAAGTATTTGCTGGAGTTCCCCCATTTCATTCTGAGGGATTGATAAAGTTTTTTATTTCAGTTATCTAAGCTTGTGTTCTCATTCTCTCAATTAGCTCTTGGTAGCGGTAGGCTCAAATGTAAGTCTACACATCTTCCTTTTAGCTGTTTTCTCCTCCTTTTGTAGCTAAACCGTCATTAGCTTGTTCCAAGATTATCTTTGTGCTCAAAGGACAAAATGCATTGCTTTCTCACGCACTTCTGTTGGTAGTGTTTTTTTCCCACTTGAGTAGCACTGGCTGCTGAGGTGCATCGTTCCAGGTCTGAGAGCTTGATGTTCTTGAAGTGAGCTTTTTCTGTGTTTTCAGGGAAGTAGGTTCTGGGAAGAATGTAAGAAACCTAATTTTGGCACGTTCTGGTTTCTGAATAACTTGATTTTTAGTACTTAAAGACAAAGTGTGGCTGGTTTTGTGTGGGGTAGTGTTTTGTTCTATACCAGGCAAGTTTTCCAAAGCTTGTATACTATAATTGATATTGAATTGCACTGAATCTAGAACTCTTTCCTTCTCATGATAACTCTGTTGATGTGTATTATACGCAACTGTTATACCTCAGTTTTATATTTTTGGCAGCCAAAAATGAGCATGCTGCTCATAAGAAACATGATTTGTTATCTTTAGTGCTATATATAGCTTGGAAGAGATTTCCCAGTAACTTGAAATGTGCCAGGCTGCGAAGGGAAAAGTTGCAAGTCTGAAAAAAGTGGGATCTTCAGACTGGGAGAATATAGGCTTCTTAATTGCAGTTTTGGAACTGCTGGAGGTCATGAGCTGTCCACAGAAATCCTAGGATATGTGATACACAGAGCTGTCTTTCACGCTTGTGTAAGCTAGACTGGGGTTGATAGGAATCAATAGGGCAGTTTCATGTAAATGTAACACCATGCTTAGTGCCAGGCTCTTGGAAGCAAGGCTAGCCGCATGCTGGGTATTGCAGTACCTTGTTTTTTCAAACTGGAATTGCTGGGCTGTGTGGCATGAAGGACCAGCAGGCTTATTAGCTCAGGCTCAGTGATGGTCCTGACAGATACCCATGCACACCTATGTGCATTTCTGCGCCATGTGTCCCAGTGCTCCTGCTTCCTGCAGGCACATCGCTGCACTATGTGAACTCACTTCTGGAGCCATAGCAACATGCTCTCTTTGCTCAGGGCCGTGTCTAGGCTGAAAAACCAACAGCAACCTAAAGCCCTGTAGGGTGCTGTCCAGGAAGTGCTTCTGTTTAGCAGCTCGTTTTCTGTCTTAGATCAGTTGTCCCCAGTGTATTAATCTGTCATTAGCAATAAAGGAAGAATCTCATTTATGTGGCTTTATCAAATAGTAAATTCTCCTTTGACTGCAAAGCTAGTGTTTTTGTGCTGTTTCACCACTGTTGTAGCATAAAAATATGAAGAGATGATAGCACTCGCCTTAGTGATGGTTTTTAAATGAACTATCTGGCAAATGTAACACTTTTAAACAGTAGCCTTCTGTACAGGAAAATTAGTTTTATAAACCGATGAAACTGGAAGAAGATAACCTGGTACGGAGTACCAGTAGCTTAGTTTGCTCTTCAAGTTGCTGAGTTAGGTCCCTGACAGAGAAGGCCAGTATTTTTCTTTAAAGCAGAGGTTAAAGGGCAGAGCAGGTGCTCCATGGCTACTCACAGTCGTCATGTGCGCTCTACTCCCTTGTTGTGTGCCTCACTGTGTCTCCAGATTATCTGTGCAGGTGTTAGAATTATTGGGGCAGCACCCCATATGGGACAGCAGTACCTGAGTGATCTGGTAAACGATCCTGCAAAGGTTTGGTATAAAGGAAGTTGCAAGACCCATTGTGTTGTACAGTGCTCTGATGTTGAGTGTCTCATGGGGATGATTTTTACCTAAATATTTTCAAAATCAGATTGAGAGAGTAAGCTTTCTCTAACTTTTGTATGCTTAGACTACCTCTTTATGCCATAACCTTCTTGAAATTCCAACTTCATCTCTACAAGCTGTTGTGAGTAATATTAAAAAGGTGTGCACAATTTATAAAACATCTATTACCTGCAGTAGTAGTGCTCAAACGATATTGAGAAACCACTGTGTAAAACTTGATAAGCAAATACTAAGGCCTGATTTAGAGTACAATGTAGCTTCTTTGAGAGAGTTTCTTATTTTCCTTAGGACAGCAGTTCAGGTAGGATCCTGGCATTTAGAAGAGGAGTCACCAGTCCAACAGACTTTCATAGGTCAAATGCTTTTGTATAATTAAATAAATTCTGATTATTTAACACTTGTTTCAAATAAATAAACAAAAAAAATAAATTAACTGCAGCTTGTTTCTGTATTTATTTTTAAGGACAGCAAAGCTGATCTTCTTCAACAAAACAGAAGATGACATACTTTGGAGAAACCAACTGGAGCAATTAGCTCTTAGAGATGAAAGGTATTTAAAAGTCTTCTGGAAAACAATTTGTATTGTCCTAGTATACAGGAGAAAAAGGTCTAGGACTCGGACTGTGTTATACAGCTATGCCACAAAGAGATCCTGCCTCTGGAAACTTTTAGCTAGAATTTAACAAGAGACATGGGAAGTGGAAGGACATTAGGGTGTATTGATCGCAGGTATGTATCGGCAGGCTATGCCGTTATATTCTGTAGGTCGGGAGTTTGATATGATGTTTAATTAAGTGTTTATTGCAGATAATATTTTAGATGAGATTATAACTAAGATTGGCTGAGAAGGTTTTTGAAGGTGAAGAAAATTAGCTTTAGCAACAGAAAATACAGATATGCAAAGAGAAGTGTGGACAGAAGAAGTCACAGACAAGGAGAGCGTACCTTTGGAGCAACATTCTGAATTTACAGAGGAGTCTTGAAAAGTCTGTTAGTTACCGCTCAAGAAAATACTTATTTAGAAGTTCAAAGTTTAAATTCTGTTACTTTTTTTTTTTTTTTTTTTACTTAGTCCTTACTTATTGCAATTGCTTCCTCTGTTACAGTGTAAGTATGTATTAAAATGCACTAGTAGACATGTAATATTACTTTACTGGCAGGCCAAATTCTGTCAGGAGACACAGCAAGTTTTTGTTTGTTTTAGTTTCTGTATCTTTGCTTTTGTGACTACATATATTGTCAATATGTAGGTTTGTGGAGGTGAAAAAAGTTCCTTTAGTTTGTTCACACAATTTCAGCTAAGAATAAATAAGCATAAACAAATGTCATGTGTTCCTTCAAAACGTGTGAGTGAAAAGTCAATAATATTTCAGAATATAATGACGTCGCCATCTCCAAAGCTTCATACTCTAGACCTTGTGCAGTTTTACAGCATAAGCCATTTCTCCTTTTCAGTAGAGCCTCAGATATGTGCTTGACTTTTTTTTTTTTTTTTTAAACTCAGTAACTACCCTGATAACAGGTCTTTGAAAACAGTTACAGTATTTTCTCGGTAGTGAAATTATACTGACATTTTCACCAGTGTGGCTAAACATTCTTGTTTTGCTGCTTATGTATCGAGTTACACCAAAGTTGTATAAGTGAATAATGAAAATGTGCTTTAGTGTCTTAACTGGTACCAGCTGGTTTTCTGTTTCACGTGAAATATATAACTAAAAGATTTTTAAGATTTAAAGATTGGATTAACTAATTACATGCAGAATATTGGAGGTGATCTGGTTAGCTTGCTTGATTGATGGGAAATACTAAATATCTGTGAGGTCTTATACTGTGCCGTGGGAGTAGAGCAGAACAAGAAAGTAGTGATGGGGAACCTCAGTATCTTAAACGCTAATGTTGTACAGCCGACTTCAAATCAGGGCAGTACTTCTGAAATATTTTTCTACTTTCCAGGTTTGAGGTTCAATTCGTTCTTTCAGAACCAACAAAGGACTGGGTGGGAAAACAGGGGAGAATATCTTCATCTCTCCTCTCTGGGTTTATGAAAAGAAGCAGAAAAGACTCCAAAGTGCTTATTTGCATCTGTGGTCCAACAGCTTTTACTGAACAAGGAGTACAGTGAGTGGTGTTTTTTTTTGTTTATTTGTTTTTAAAGTTTCTTCATTCTCTGTTTATCATTTATTTTGAATTCCGAGTCAGCTACAGCATTTCTGACATCCTTTCTAAAATGACCTTCAGTTTTCTGCTTCGTGAGGAAAACTTTTAACTTTAGAAAACTGCATTCTTAAAAACACTTGACATATTTTAGGACTATACTTTGTGGATGGGTGAATATCAGCAATACGTAAATTTTATGAGCTCTAGTAAAAAAACCAACTTTCTAAGGGCATCTCTTTAACAATGACTTTTCTCAATACTTTAAACACTGCTTTCAGTGTTCAGAGAAAAGTTATAGGAAATAAGCTTTCTGTGTTGGTGCTAGCTTGACAAACTGAGTTACTGAAAGTAGAATTAGAACCAGCTGCTTTATGAGACAGTTCTGTTGATTTTTATTATTGCATTTATACTCTTGCTACATCTGTACCTCATGCTTTTCTTATTTTACATACCATATATTTAAAGATAAAAGGCTCTTTTAACTTTCTGTCATCCAGCTTCAAAATGTTGAACCAATATGGACATCATTTCCATGCAGCTGACCTCAGTAGGGCTACAGAAATGTATATAAAGGAGAGTGAAACTAGCCAACAATTATGTCACCCCTTGAGAAATCTGAGATAGTTAAAATGGTATCTTTGCTTATTTTTAGAAATTGTTGTAGTATGCTAAAAGTTTGTGCAGTGTATATGAACATCTGCACATGAAATGTTTTCTAACTGTATTTGCAAAAGTAAACTTCATTTTGCATGTCTGAATAAAAGCAAGAGGGCAGTGCTGAAGTTGTGGTACTTTAGCTATGTCTTTGGTGGGTTTTAGTTTCCAAATACTAATATTACAAACCTTATTTCTGGCTTTCAGGTGTCTAAAGGATCTTGGATACTCCCAAGAAGAGATGCATGCTTTTACTGCGTAAAACAATGTGAAGATATCAATGTTTGTTCGTATAACTCAATCTAATTTATTTACTTTCATGAATTTATTTAAATGAGAAGTAATTTTTTAAGACTTGAAATTTCACTCTTGGTACCAAACTGTTTCTTGGAAGAAATATATCTTTGAAAAAAAATTTTATACTGTGTTTTATCGTGTTTTTGTAAATATTTTTGCTAATACTTAAAATTCATCCAGGACATTAATTTATTGTAGAGGCAAGCAAAAGTGTGCAGTACCCATTGTTAGTTATATAATGTTGTTGACTTAAGAGAATTTTGAAATTTAGGTTGAGCACTGATTTAAGTTTTGACTTGAAATGGTTATTATTTCTTACTGTAAAATGTCTTAAGAGCAATACTGTCTGAATTTAAAATATTGTACTATAACTCAGGTAGCTGATCACTGAAATATGTTCTTTGTCAACTTAAATCTCTATTTGACTTGCAAGCGACCCCGATAAGTTCTTGGTTTTGTACACATTTACAGAGAATAAAATTTAAAAGAACCTTTGGTAAAATAAAAAATTGACGTCAAATAAAAAATAAAAAATTTTACATTAATTATGTGCATTTTAGTACATTTTCTGTATTTTCAGTTGATAATGTGATGCCAAAATTTCCACAAGCTTAGGATAGCAACTGAGAACTTGGAGCAGAGGCAGAGAGTCTTGGTCTCCCAGTGAACTTCCTATGTGACCTTATTGATATCAGGCATTTCCTTGTCCAGCTGTTCTGAGGGTAAAAGCATGACATGGGCTGCAGATGCCATGGTAAGGACCTAAAAATACTCTGACAGGTTGCAGTACCATTAACTAACGATACTTGAATTCTTGAAGTTTTTTCACCCCATTATTAAAAGTATGTTATCATAAAACTGTAAATTGCTGTCACATAGTAGTTTGGAAAAAAAGAGCAAAGCAGTTACCTCTCTAGATGTTGTCTGTAAAATCTGTAGTTATTCTTTCCTTACGACTTCTAGTACTGTTTGCATCCTCCTTTTATGATGCTGAATGGTTATTTCTTCTTCCTAAGAAGCCAGGCTTGCAATTGTAGCACCTATACTTTAGCATTTACAAAAAATGTTCTAATAATATCTTTTTATAAAGGTGAAATTGCTATGTGACAGTGGCTGTCTAACTTAAACTGCACTGTTATATTTTCAGTGCACTCTCATTTGCTAGGTTTGAAAATAATACTATAAAAGGATCAGTCATTGTCCGTTGGTGGTGATAGTCACAGTTTCAGAAAAGACAGTAATCCTGTCATCATTTTGTGTGGCTTATAATTTTGCAGTGCATTTGTGGAGGTTTGTACTATAAAGCACAGGTGCTCTGAATGGGTTTCTCTTTCTCTGAGCAGAAACATCAGTGGTACATTGGAAAAACAAAACACTCGTAACACTGAGTTTTTCTGTTGCAGACATGAGGTTGCTGCTGCGACGTCAAAAATCCCATTTTGGTTTTAACAAATAAACCTTGTGTCTGTCTTAGGATACTGAGAAATTGCTATGTTCCCATCACCCCAGATCTCTGATGCAATTGCTGTGCTGAAAGAAACTCTTTGGTTTCCTGTGTAAAATTATTTCATTAATTGCTGCTGTGTCAGGCTTTTTAGTTCTAACGGGTTACTTTGCCACTAGCCTGTCCTTTGTGTTTTCATCATCCTTCTTCGCATTTATCCAAAAAGGCAAAGAAAGCATTTTGGATAAGTAGTTGTTGTGACACAATGCTTCAGTGACTTTATCCTTTGCCTTAGCACTTAGGCCAGATTCAGGCACACACTATGACGTCCTGAAGGCTTAGAGCAATTACTCTTGTGTATGTAGAAGTGGAACTACTTCAAAGGAGGTTGAGAAGCTTGTGAAGGCTGTATTTAGTGCATATTCCTGCTGGTTTCTGAAAGTTTGTTTCCAGTCTGGTGTAATAGTGGTAGCGGCTGTTTACAGTTGCAGCATGAAGGAAATTGTTTTTGGAGGCATCTGGACTGTCAGGAAGGATGGGAGAGCTGATCCTCATGAAATGAGCCATATTCAGCATCAGAAGGCATGTGGATCTTGAACACTTCAGTGCTGCGAGAGTATATCGGGATTCTACTATATGGAAAGTTTCTACAGAGGCTTTGGAAACGTGTAAATCCCAGTGTTACTGGGCCCTAGTAGGATGATTGCTAGGAAGCTGACTAGAACTGGGTTCTTTGCCCTTAATAGCTCCCAAGGCTGTTGCACATCTCCTAAAATCTGTATGAGAAGAAATGAGCTATTCTGTCTATACACTTAGCTTATATGGTATGAATGATACAATAAAAATGAAGCAAGGAAAAGGGCCAAATTAATAGCTAGCTTTGGAAGTCTAACAATGTTGAGTGCAGAAGCATATTGCTGTGGTGGTTCTTCCCGTAACTCTGACCCTGGCTTGGAGAAAACTTCCTGGACTTTGCGCTCCATCTGTCTGCAGGGAAAAGAGGAGTCCGTTTCGAGGGCTTATTACAGTTGTATTTCTCCTGGAGATGTAAACACTCAATCAAAACTGAATATGCTGGTGGTATAGATGAGGAACAAAAGGGGATTGTGACATGTGAAAGACGCATCCTTGGAGGTTTCAATATGCAAATGTGTTGCACTTAAACTTTTGAACAGTTGCTTTTGGTGGTTGGTTTCTGGTTCCTTCATTATGTCAGTGACTGACAAAGCATTGAATTCAGAAGTGTTCCTGTTTACAATGGAAAGGGCATATCTAAATCTGGTCAAGTAAGGGAGCAGGGTCGGGGATTCCTGCATGAGATTATCCATGATCAGCATCAAGTTATCATTTGGGTCGGTATGCAGTGGGTGATCCCATTCCACTGTGGGAGAGAAAAAGGCTGATGATCCTAGGAAATGAAATACCTTGAACATTAAATAGTGAGTGAGTATTGTTTCTGTTTTCTTTGGAGATGGAAGAATGGGGGCTGAATGACTTCTCTTTGACTTTATTAATGTAAAGACTAGCCAAAGTATCTGTTTTAAGTGATACAGAGCTAGTATTCTTTTGTAGAGCTTCAGATGCTCCCTGGTGTTTTAAGAGAGTATCAGACAGGTTAGAATCCGTTTATTAGTGTGAGTGACTTAATTTAATTTCATCTGTTTGTTGAAGTGGCTTTTTCTGTGTACCTGTGCTATGATTGTGTTGGGGTGACATCTAGTTCGCAACAAGTGCCTAACGTGATCTTGCAAATTCAGGTGGTTGTATTCCTATGACTGTTTGTTACAGAGGAAGAGATCAATTCTTAGAAAACTTCTGGAAGTTAGAAGTATGTAGTCAGTATTTGTAGCTAGTGGTTCTGTCGCTAGCTTGTCAGCCTCTGGCATAAGTTCTAAGAATTTACGCATCCCTGGAACTGTAGCATGTTTTCCAAAAGGATGGGGTTTAGAGGGTTTTGTTTTGTTTTTGTTCTGTACCAGTATATGACTTTCAATTCTTTAGCATTGTTTCATTGACTTGCCTTGGTGATATTGAAAGTATCTTCTCATAAGCTTTCAGTTGGCTAAATTGATTTTTACAGTAAGCTTCTGCTCATCAAAATGATACACTCTTCATCTTTTGTTGAAGTTGGCCTGCAGATTCGGTGTTATTGGGTGGGAAGAAGAGAGAGGGAATAGGCTTTCATGTGCTGTGCAGAGACAGCTACGTTTTCCTAGGAAACAGAACTAAAAATGGAAGATTGGAAGAATACTCTCCTATACTGCTTTTTATCAAGTACCTGGTTATTGTCAGGTTCTCATGAATTGACTTTCTCTCGAATTGTTACTCTATACTATCTTTTGATGCTAGTTCACCGAGAAACAAACCTTTTTTAGTTTTCCAAAGCAAGGAAGACTTTTTTTTTTTCCCAGTTTTCTGCAGGAAAATTCAGTTTGAAAATATACCAGTTCTAAGTCTGGAATACTTACATATGCAAAGACTGATTAAAGCAGGCTCAGAGGAACCAATATGAAGTTGTATTGTTTATCGTTTCTCTGCTGTTGCTCAGGGGGTAGTTGTATGTTCGTAAAGAGAGATTTATGTCTAGAAAAGCATCCATAATAAAACCAGCCAGTAAATATAAGGAATTTGAAGAATGCAATCATTCAGTAGGTCTTCATTAACGAAAAAAACATTCTAATGTTTTGTCTACACAATGTTTGCTTGTTTCAGCGCATGAATAGTTCCAGCTGTGTTCTGGAGGATATTCATTACACAGTAAGGCAGAAAATTGAGCGCTATGGTCTCCTCTCGTGGATCTTTCTGAGCAAAATTAACTTGTTTGGAAAGACACAGAAACCTCCGTGTAGGTGTATCTTTTATCGTACCAGCACGTCACTGTTCTTCTAGAAAAATCCCTGCGTTACAAAGCTGTGCACCTCCCATAAATGATGATAAATGTTATGCTTAGATCAATGACCTCTTACCAGTAGTGGCTCACGTTACAGGCTGTTGAAATAAACAGTTTCTTTCCCCTCCCTCACAAGAAGGTCTATTACCAATATCCTGGGAAAACATTCTGTGCCTTTTACAGCAGACTGCATTCTGGTTTTGCAGCTTAAAAAGGAAAGCAAACAAACAAATTCCACCACACAGGTATGTGGAAATTACACTCATGAAGTCTGCACATTAAATCAGAATTTGAATGGGAACTTTCAGAAACAAACTATGCTGTATGAACCCACTATCTCATAAAATGCTATTCTGGAAGACTGGTACAGATTTTCCCCACTGTTATTGCACCCTTGTTCTTCTTGTGCAGATAGGTCTGTAACGTGGCTCTTAGAGCTGGCTGGTTTGTGAAAGAATTGCCCTGAGTTTCAGTTCCACCAACAGACTTCATTTGCTCTGATCTTGTCAAGGATCATATCCTGAAGGTGATGGTAGCTCTTCTAGACCACTTCAGGAGGTCCTCTTCAAGCCTGGCATTCCATATTTCCAACTAGAAAAATATCTACTTAAGCATCTTTTCATAAAGATTGAAATCTAGATCACCTGTTTCTCTTAAAATTGAGTACCTCTTTTCTGGCTGAATAAGTCTTTATTTTATTTTATTCTTTTCATCTTTTTGTGAAGTGGCACAGGTGTGTGGGAAGGGTGAAAAATGCTCTGGTTCAAATAACCTGTCACCCAGTGGCCAGGTCATGTCCTGGGTAGGTGAAAGATGTGGATTTGACTCTTCAGATTTATGCTGCCCTTGGAACTAAATCTCTGACATCTTAGGACATCCTCTGATCGATAAGTTACGGGATTAAAGGGCATTTGGTCCAGCTTCACTCAAACCTACCTTCTCTAACAGCTTGAGCCAAGAGGTCGGGATAGTTTGCTGTGGGAGTGGTTGGCAGAGGGGTTGCATGCAAGTATGTAGCTGCGAGCTGTCATAATTGACTTCTGTAGAGGAGTTAAGTGGAAGGATGTTATTTTTCAAGCTCTGAAATTGACTTTTTGGTGAGATACTTACTGGTTTGCTTGTTTCCTCCAAGATGGGTTCCCAAAACTTCAGGCACTTTGTGAGAATTTTTAAG